TTAATTATATATTTTTGTAAATTATATAATCAGTTATTAAAAATGAATTGAAAATTTCTACTCTTCACTCTAACTCTGGAGTTCAGAGAAGAAACAGGGTCAGTTTTCAGTGGTGAATACTAGAAAGGGGAACTTTTTGTTTTTCTTTTATTTCTTTGTTTTTGCATTTTCTTCAATGAGAGTTGGGTGAGTTTAAATTAAATATTTTTATTCTCTTCTAGTTTTTCATAGGTACCTGTAAATTATATTGGTCTAAAGAATCATAGAGAGGAGGGACATGCCCTTCTCTATTGGTCTAAGGAGTATAGAGAGGAGGGACATGCCCTTCTCTATTGGTCTAAGGAGTATAGAGAGGAGGGACACGCCCTTCTCTATTGTTCTAAAGAAGCGTAGAGAGGAGGGACACGCCCTTCTCTATTGGTCTAAAGAAGCATAGAGAGGAGGGATATGCCCTTCTCTATTGGTCTAAAGAAACATAGGAGGAACATGCCCTTCTCTATTGGTCTAAGGAGTATAGAGAGGAGGGACATGCCCTTCTCTGTCTTGTAAGATACACCAAACTAATTTTTGGATAAAGAAAATGGTAGTTTTTTGTGGTGACTTTATCAGAGCTGAATTATAATAACTGAGTGATAATTTATGATATTCAGCTTCTAGAAATATAATACTATTAGAATTTCATAGAATTGCCTGCAATTAAAGTGGGGTCATAAGTCAATAATGGAATTCTGATACTCAGTGACCTGGTATATATATATATATATGTGTGTGTGTGTGTGTGTGTGTGTGTGTGTGTACATATTATACATATATACATATATATCTTTGTTTAAGATTCATTTTCTTATAAGCCCTTGTATTACACCAAGAAATTAGCCAGAATTATAAAAATGTCATAATTATCAAATTTCTTAAGCTAGTGTGGTGGCTGTCTTGGTTAGATTTTCTTTGGCTATGATAAAACACCATGACAAAGCAACTTACAGAAGGAAGGGTTTATTTGTGTTTATGGTTCCAGAGGTAAAGCGTCTGTCATGGCGGGGAGGGGGGCAACCATGGCAGCTAAAATAGTAAACTGAGTGTTCATGTCTCAAATTACAAGCAGGAAGCAGAGTGAATGGGGAATGGCAGGAGGTTTTTAAACCCTAAAATCCACTCACAGTGCCACACTCCCCACAACAAGGCCATGCCTCCTAAGCCTTTCCAAGCAGTGCCACCATCCAGAACCAAGTATGCAAACATCTGAGCCTATGGGGACATTGTCATTCAGACCACTGCAGTGTCCAAGGCTTATAATCTCAGGACTTGGAGGTGTAGGCAGCAGACCAGGACTGTGACTGCCTTGAGAAAATAATTTGTTAAAAAGAGATAATGTATTCTTGAAAACATAATTTACTGTTATTTAATAAGTAAGGATTTTCATGTTGCGGCTGTGTAGTTGGAAGTTTTCTCTGTGTCCCGCCAAGCCCCCACAGTCCCATGGCCCTCTTATAAAATAATCATTCAGAGGCTTATATTAATTATAACTGCTCGGCCATTAGCTCAGGCTTTTACTGACTAGCTCTTACACTTAAATTAACCCATAACTCTTATTTATATTTAGCTATGTGTCTTGGTACCTTTTCTCAGTTCTGCTTTGTCATCTTGCTTCCTCTGTGTCTGGCTAGCAACTCCTAACTCAGCCTTCCTCTTCCCAGAATTCTCCTTGTCTGCTTATCCCACCTATACTTCCTGCCTGGCTAATGGCCAATCAGTATTTTATTTATCAACCTATCAGAGCAACACATTCACAGCGTACAGAATGACATTCCACAGCACTGCTGTATTTTTTTGTTTGTTTTTTGTTTTTGTTTTTGAGACTTACTATGTATTCCAGGATGGCCTTGGTTTGGGCCAACCCTACCAGCCTGAGAAGTGTGGGTGTTGCCAAGGAAATTGGGGTTCCCTCTCAGGTTCTTAGTCTTATTTGTTAATTATGAAATTTCGATTCTTAAGGAAGCTCAAGAAGAAATTAAAGTTTGAGAGCAAAACTACAGGCCAGGCAAGCTATAAATTTTGGCAGCAGCCAGGAGGAGAGAGCTGGGAAAGAGCAAGGATGTCATGCCCTTTTGAGTTAGGGTCTAAGCAGGGCCACGTGTTCAGCAATGGCAGTCAGCAGGTAGCAGCATGGTGGAAGGGTGGGGACTTCAGGAAGGACTGAGAAAGCAGAGAGCAGTGAAGAAAGCATCCTGAGGCTTGTGGTCAGCATCTGAACAAAAGAGGGAGAGAAATGAGAAGGAAAACGTACACTTTTCCAGTCAGGACTCAGGAAAACAGATCGACTCTGTAGTGCTGCATGACAGAAGCTCTGAAAGCAGCCGCCTGGGGAGCCTCTGGGAAGGACTGGATGATTATTCCTCCAATCTCCATAGTACATAGTACAGCTTCAGGTAAGTCAGCAGATTGACAGGCCCAGATGGATAAACGTTCAAAGGAAGTGGCAATACTATGTAGCATTCTAATTTTTGCAGCAGATTAGAAAGTCATGTCTCCATGCAGGTACAAAGTAGAACTCAGATTCTATTCTTTTGACCAGGAAGAAGTACCTTTTCCTTAATGGGTTTCAATAAGGCCTATAGATCTCCAGTTTTTAATGTTGCCTTAAGAAAGTGCCACTGTGCCAGGCAGTGGTGGAGCACGCCTTTAATCCCAGCACTCGGGAGGCAGAGGCAGGAGGATCTCTGTGAGTTCGAGGCCAGCCTGGTCTAGAGAGCAAGATCCAGGAAAGGTGCAAAGCTACACAGAGAAACCCTGTCTTGAAAAACCAAAAAAAAAAAAAAAAAAGGTGTCACTGTGTTGTTTAACTTTCTGATGTTATCAGGAAAACAGGAGGTGGGTTCCAAAGCTGACCATGAGGGAAAGGCACATCCTTGGTGGCTTCTCAGCTAACAATCCCTGTAACACTGGGATTATTGGCATGAGCTTTCACTTCTGGCTTCCTCAGCATTCTCATAAGTGAGAATTTTGTATAAGCACATTCCTTTAATAAAAGATTAGTCAGTTCCAGTATAAACGTTACACCAAATTGTGACCTAGAGCTACTCATGTTTGAGTGGCGTTCTAATTTGCTTAGTCATTGGCTTCCAATTATCTATAAACACTTACATACACATGGCATATAATTTATTTTATTTTATTAAAGATTGATTTATTTATTATGTATACAGTGTTGTTTGCATGTATCCCTGCAAGCCAGAAGAGGGAGCCAGATCTCATCACAGATGGTTGTGAGCCACCACGAGGGTGCTGGGAATTGAACTCAAGACCTCTAGAAGAGCAGCCAGTGCTCTTAACCTCTGAGCCATCTCTCCAGCCCTGATATACTAGTTTTTATATATGATCAGATGTACTCATTTAAAGAAAATACTTCGAAATTTGACAAATGTCTCCAGGCATGTAACCACCACAACAAACAAACATAATGTTTTCTCGTGACCTCACAACAAGCCTCTCTTACTCAGAGTCGTCTTTCCTCCTCCCTTAATCACGGGTCGTCACTGGTCCTTTCTCATTACTGTGAATTGATAGTTCCCAACCTCAGATCAGCTTTACCACCGTTTGAAAAGTTGGGTTGTGGGGAGCCAGAATGTTGCACTTTGCCATGTAGGGATTTTTAGCAGCATCTCTGGGCCTCCGCCCATCAGATGCCAGTGGACCTCTCCTTTCACTTCCTCAGTTGTGACAAGTGAAATGTCTATGGCCAAAATCCCCCCTTGGGAGCAAAACTGCATCCACCCTAGAACCACTGCTTGCTATAAGATCACTCCTCCAGTGCTCGAAATAGAAATATATATGACACGTCCTCTGGCCTGCTTTCCTTTGTTCATTATATTGACTCAAGGATTATAAAGGCTGTTATGCAAGTGCTGTTTGCTTTCTTTTTACTGAGTGGGAGGTCAGTATTTAATAATAAACTACACTTGGTTTAACCATTTCCTTTTTATGTTTCTCTACATCTCTAATTGTGTTTAACATTTATGTCAGCCTTTTGAGAATCTTTTTTTATTAATTGATTCGTTTACTAGTTACAAGTCTTACAAGTCACAGTGTTCTTTTTCATAGTCTTTGGATGTTGAGCACATCTTTAATGTTATGATGACTCCAGGTTTGTTTTTAATTTTTTAAATGATAGTGGGTACTTTTTGGCAGGGAGTTACTTGTGTATCATCTTGATTTTCTAAGGCTATCATTTTTGTTTGGAGCTGGACATGGTGGCACATGCCTACAATTCCAGTATACTGGAGTCTGAGGCAGGAACATGCTGAGTACAAAGCCTGTGTCACAGTGGAATCATAAAAAGCTTTCCTTATTACTTAAATATCCTTATCCATTATTAGTTATGCATATAAATACAATTCTAGCTGTGATAACTGTGGGATGATGGATGATATGTATCAGCCTTTTAAGACTAATTGCAACTATAATTTAGATCATGAACCTTGTACACCTCAGCCAAACTGTTCTCTCTGTGTGTTCTCTGTGCGTGCACGTGTACAGGAATACAGTAGCTTGTCCTTACCTGTAGTCCTCACCTTCCATGGTCAGTTACCCAGTACCAACCAAAGTCTGAGAATATTAAGTAGGAAATCCCAAAACTAAATAATAATCTGTAAATCACATGTTGTTGTAGGTAATCTAATGAGTTCCTCTGCTGCCAGCTCACTTTTTCCTGACCTGCATGTGAAATGTACCCTGTCTGTGTGCTGTGCATGTGGCTTGTTCATTGGTCATTTACTGGCCATTCTGATAATTGTCGATTGTGGTATACTAGTACTGGTGTTCAGTTAACCCTTAATTTACTTAAAAGCTCCAATATGCAGAGTGGAATGCTGTCATTTTCTTATAAGAAATTATCCATGGTCTGTTTTGTTATTAGTGTTACTGTTCCCCCCGTTAGCTTCAGCACAGACGTTTAACTCTATCTAGCTTGTAATGTTTTACCATGTTATTTTTCTTACTAGACAGTGATATCGGAAAGCTGTTATCATGCTTCAAAATGTCTGATAAGCAAACGGAGTGGATAGAAAACTGCCGAAGACAGTTTTGTAAAATGATGAAGTCCAAACCTGATGCAGTCAGTGGAGGTGGTGAGTTTGGTGTTTTCTACTGGGATATTCCTGCATAAAATTATTTTAACAGAAGCTGTGACTTCTGAAGATTCCTATATGTGCGTGCAGGAAAAGTCCATTGCCCAACCCGCCCCCAAAGGGCTTGTAATTCCTAGAGAACCAAAGGCCAAAGAACTCCTAAGCCTTTTCACGGACTGGAGTGTCTGTACATGTGGCAAGCAGCTCTGCGGTTCCCCTGCCTTTCCTGGGGTTACAGTTTGCCTGGCTTCAATGGTCTCCACTTTCATATACCATGTTGCTGTGTCTTTGTAGAAGTCTTACCAGTTTACGAGTGACTTAAATATCTTAAATCACCACCAGACATCCACCAAACCAACTGAATGATTCCTAAGGAAGCTCTGTCTTAAGGGAGCATCTCCAGTATAAACTGACCAAGCAAGTTTAACGTAAATTATTTGCATGTGCTTTTGTTTCCTGAAGCTATAACTCTGATCTGATGATTTTATAAGCTAAATTTCCTAAAAGTTGTCATTTAGGAGTGATTTCATTTCATCAGCCATACTTAGAAGTTTTCATATTTGTTATAAAATTAAAATCAGGAATTTAAAAATTAAATTTACACTTTGCTAGAAAATGGTATTTTTAGAGAATAATAAAATATTTATGTGGCAACAAAACCACAAATTATTCTCCACAGTATAAGTATAAATGAGCAGTTAAACTATGGTTAGTCTCAAGATGTATCTTTGGTCAGTGGTGGTGCATGCTTTTAATTCCAGCACTCAAGAGGCAGAGGCAGGTGCATCTCTGTGAGTTCAAGGCCAGCCTGGTCTATAGATCAAGTTCCAGGACAGCTAGGGCTGTTACACAGAGGAATCTTGTCTCAAAAACCAAAACCAAACCAAACCAAACCAAACCAAACCAAACCAAACAAACAAAAAAACCAAAACCCAAATATCTATTAAGATATATGTATTTATAAAATATCTATTAAAATACATATATAAACACACATATAGTCTTAGGGTTTCTGTTGCTGTGAAGAGACACCATGACCATGGCTACTCTTATAAAAGCAAACATTTAACTGTGGCTTGCTTACGGGTTCAGAGGTTTAGTTAATTGTCAAAATAGTGGGAAGCATGGTGGCTTACAGGCAGACATGGTTCTGGAGAAGGAACTGAAAGTTCTACATCTGGATCCACACCACAGGTGGCAGGAAGGGAGAGTGAGCCATTAGGCCTGGCTTGAGCTTCTGAAACCTCAAAACCCACCCCCAGTGACACACTCGTATATGTGTGGTACCTGGAATGAAAATGTGTATGTATGTGTGTGTGTGTATGTATACACACACATATATATTCACACACATACACACACACACACACACACACACACACATATAAATGAATGGTTTGAATGAATATATTTGTGTATATAATTTGCTCTTGATTGTAAAATAGATAATATTTAAAATAGACTTTCTCAGCCGGGCGGTGGTGGCGCACGCCTTTAATCCCAGCACTCGGGAGGCAGAGCCAGGCGGATCTCTGTGAGTTCGAGGCCAGCCTGGTCTCCAAAGCGAGTTCCAGGAAAGGCGCAAAGCTACACAGAGAAACCCTGTCTCGAAAAACCAAAAAAAAAAAAAAAAAAAAAAAAAATAGACTTTCTCAGTGGGTTTTGTACATGCCCCCCAAATACATAGCAAATTAGGAGAGGAGTGGCTTGGAATGAATTTCAATACATCCCCCAGTGCAGTTTTAAGAGTGTCTGTCTCTCAGGGAAACAAGAGAAATGTCACCTGTCTAGCCATCACCTTTTGAGATGGGACCGATAAACCGAACAGATAAGAGTTCTCTTTGGCATCTAGGGCACTGTCCACATCTTCTTCCTCAGTCATTCATTGCTTGCTGTTCCTGTGTCCACCAGGTCACTGGGAGCTACTTCCAATCGTAGATCCATTCTTCTCTGCCTGATGCTTAGTTGCTGACACAAGACTCATTTATACTCCACAGAATCTTTATTATGTAGTCTATATTTTATCAATGATGAAACTGAAATGCATATGTAGCTAGAGTTTTCCTGCCTGGCCCACAGTCAGGATAAATCTCTGCCACCCGCAAACAGCCCAGTTTTCAGCAGAAGAGCCAAGAGGAGAGTCCAGGTAACCTCTTGTCAAAATCCTGGTGTCACTTTACCATAATAAAGGTGACATATCACCTTTTCACACCTAACATTTTTCTTATCAGAGACAATATTTATCAACGAGACATAGACAAGCAAAACGTTGCCTGAATACTAAGTTACGTTGCCTCTAGGATCTCATCGCACACTTGTTCCCAGTCTTATGTCAACCCGCTCGGCTTGAGTCCTGAACCCCGACTTTTGGTAGTGAGGAAATGAAAACAGATACACACAGACATGCCGGGTGTGGTTCTGCTCTCTCCACAACCAGGAACCTCAGTGTGTTTATTAGGACACCACAGTGGGAGGGGTTAGCCATTCTGGGCAGGAAGTCTCTGCAGGGGAGCCCTGTCAAGCTCTAAACACCCAGGAAGAGAAAGCTGCAGTTGCCACTCTCTTCACAGGCCGGTCGCTTGTGTCTAACACTCACACTGGGCCCCCTGAAGGAAGTCTTGCCACCCATGTGATGACAGCTTTGCCAATTTCCCCTGGGTCAGAGGCCTTGGAGTCCTCAACATGGCTGTGCCTGTGTCAACAATACACGTTCACTCAGGACTTCCCTAGGAGATTTAAAGCTTTATAAATTACCCTTTATACATTTAACTATTCTGAGTTTTTCTTTAAGATACTTATATAATGCTTCATAATACAAAATAGTCTACCCATTTGTTAACATGCTCATAATTATGAGAGAATGAATTAGTTTAAAATTTCTATGTCAATGAAAATGTCCAAATAAAAAAAGGGAAAGACAAAAGGAAATGTAATTAGCAATTTGAGTACCTGCTTGTTGACTGAATCATTCCCCACAATGGGCAGATGCTGCCTTTTTTGGTAATGGTGAAGGAGTGGAGAAGAATCCATTAAAAAAGAGTTTCAGGAATTTAATTAAACCTGATCATCTTCACAATGATTAAAGGAGAAAATTTTCCAGTTTTTTAGATGTGGGGTCCTTGTATTTGTGGGTTTCCTTCCAGACATTAAGCTTATGAGAAGATCAAGGAAGCCTATGGGGATGGACAACTGTGTGTTTCTGCACTCACAGCCCCTAGCTGAAGTGATGGCTCACATGACCCAGAATCTCTACTCAATGTTTGAAAAATAAAGAGAGCTCAGAGTCTTCCCATCCTCAGCCTTACTTTTGGTTTGAACCTCCTTTCCACCCACATAACAACAATTTTCCAGACTGTTTGTTTGTTTTAACATCTTAAGGTAGCAGTAACTACTTGTACTCTCCTCCATTGGCATTACCTCTCCAGCGCCAGAAGAAAACACAGGGGGGCGCTCTACCTCACTGGTTGAATTTCAAATGTGGCGCTGGGTACTAGACTTTCATTCATTAGGATACAATCATTCCAGAATTCCCCTCCCCCCTTTTTTTCCTATTTCATTGTCAGAAGAATCTCATTAAATCAACTGACTCATGGTTTTCTTCTGGCTTGCTACTTAACTTCTTAGTGTCTGTCCATTGTGAGCAATCCAGTTCCGTATCAACCCCAGATGTGGTACACCTAACCTTTTGCATCTGAAATTCTAGAGTCAGCTCTGCTCTAAAGCACCATTTTCCTCATTATTTTCTAATCAATATCTCCCATTAATCTTTTCTTAGTGATCTAATAGTTATACAATTTAATATCTGCCCTACATATGTTTTTTCTATTTTTCATTGACATTGATTGATGACTTAGTTCATAGCTAAAATTCCTGTGTGTGCTTACTACACTTTGAGGTGGTCACTGCAAAACACATACAATGTATTTAATAGTCAATATTAGAAACTTTGGTTGTGCATAGTAACCACACATACATATATATTCATACTATATATTTATATGTAAATATATACACACATATATATTTAAATCTCAAATTCTTGAATTTTCATGACTTAGATCCTAAGAACTTGTTATGTAAGATACTACCTTAACAAAAGTACTTCTTATTTAGCAACTGGATCAGTATTATTTAATACATGATTTTGGGCAGGATATTGCTATGTAACGTAGACTAACCCCAAACTCTAAAATGTTGTTCCTGAGCCTCGAAAGTTCTAGGATTATAGCTATCCTGGCTTTCTAATTATTTTAAATAAAATAAAGGCACAAAATTCTTTTATAATTTTATTATTCAATCATTATTTCTATATTTTTAAAAATTATATTGCATTCCTGTAAGTTTGTGTATGTATGTATGTATGTATGTGTGCATGCGGGTGTGCATACGAGAGGGTGGGAAGAGTAGGGATATGCGGGAAACATAACATACGTGTGGAAGTGAGGAGAGCTTGTGGGAATCAGTTCTCTCCTTGTATCACATGGGTCCTGAGGATTGAATCCTGGTCGTTAGACTTGGCCTGCAAGTACCTTTTCCGATGAGATTTCAGGGCTGCAGGAGTGTCTCAGTGATAGAGCACTTGCTTAGCATGTAGAGTGCGCTGTGCTTAATTCTCAGTCTTTCCCTAAAAACAGTTTCCAAGAAGGTAACAATGAAAGAAGAAAAATGTACAGCAGACTGATTTATCTGAATACAGAAATAGCAGTAACCTTTGAAGGACCTACGTAGTAAAACTGTGAAAAGAAGTTCTTCCAAAGTGAGCCACACTTTTGGAAGATGGGTCAGATTTTTTTTTTTTTTTCCATTTCTGTCCTGGGATGTGCAGGTAAGAACCTGTGGCATCCCACATACAGTAAACAAAATAACTCTAGAAATCAGAGGGCAAGCTGTGTGCTTAGAATCCGAGGAAGTAAATTTTCTGTGTTTTCTTTTGACTCTTTGATTTTTTTTGCCTGGTTGATTAAGAATGACAGCAGATGCAGGAAAATAGAGAGACCAAT